ACGTGTAACGCAGTATTTGGTCCCGGAACCAGGTCGATCTCATGAAGCACACCTCGGTCCGGAGGAAGGACTGAAGGCGTGTCTTTGGAGACGAAATCTTAAAATTTCTTTACCAAATGATGGTACGGACCCAATGAATTCAGTTGGATCGACAATCCATTTCGTGCGTTCAGCACACTCTATGTGTCCTCCAAGACAGATTCATCCAGAAGCGATGATGTGTTTATCTCCTCGTCCGGTCGTACAATGACCACTTCGGCCAAATCGCCTGCCTTCAAGACACTGACAAACTTGTTAAGGGACATCTCATCCCGCTCAAGAAGAGCATCTACAGCAGGCTCTTGGTGTCCTCCAAGACAGCTTCATCCAGAAGCGATGATGAGTTTATCTCCTCATCTGGTCGTACAATGACCACTTCGGTCAAATTGCCTGCCTTCAAGGCACTGCCAAACGCTTCGAGGGAAATTTTGTCCAGCTCAAAAAGAGCATCTACTGCAGGCATAGCCTCGAGGCGGCGTCGTTATCTTCCTACTCTGTCATACTGTTGACGAGGGTGTATAACTGTGCGCCATCGTCTACGGTAGACACATCCTGGATCAGGGCCAACGCCCGGCGTCTTTTAGCCAGCATACGGCGTCACCGTCGTCTATGTACAGAGATTCCATGTCTCAGTGAGACCAGGGTGAACACGTATTCCGTGTCGTTTGGTGTCACCCTCACTGTCCGCTCCTTTGGAGCTCCAACGTTATCGACAACATCCGACGAAGAGCTGCTAACCCTTCAGTCTTCGCCCAAAAGATAACGTGCCACTCCACGCGCATCCTAGGGGGCCGCGCCTAAGATACATCGGACTCTGTCCGACCACGCCATCAATGGCTTGCAGCGACTGCTTCGCAACGAGAGCAGAGCTCAGTGGTTTAGGTGCCACTTCACGTGCATCACGGACCTCCCAACAAATGCAGCTACTGTACACTGAATTTGCATATCATCTTAAGAGAAACGAACGATTCAAAGCTTAGTTGTCTTGACAAACTTTTATCTCAATTTTTTTTTCTCGATGCCTCGGCTCTTGGCCGACCATGTCACGCATGACACGCAGCGACTGCTTCGATTCTCGAGCAGCGCTCAGTGGTTTACGTGCCACTTCACGCCCATCACGGGGGCTTCGCCCTCGATGCTTCGGACTTTGGCCGACAATGTCACGCATGACATGCGGCGACTGTTCCGAAATTTGAGCAGCGCTCAGTGGGTTACGTGCCACTCCACGATCAGCCCGCAAGCCACGCTCGGAACTCCTGTCTGATAAATCGTTGGGATCTACCAACTCGGACATTCCAGTGTCCAGCACCTTGACCTTCTCGGCCCAGTGCTCTCGCCAACAGCGTTTCTGTCTTCTAGCCGAGGTAGGTTCATGACTCGCTAATGTTCCACCGGATGACGTGCGTGTAGCGCCTAAGGTCTTTGATCGCCAATCAATCCATGGCTCATGGTGTTCCAACTATGCCATTCGTAGGATGAGGTCATACTTTGTATCCAAGTTTCAGACTAGACAGCGTTCCATGCTATCAAAGTCAAGGAACTTGACTCCGAGGTCCACAGGGAAAATCGGGACCGTGACACGTGTCCCCGTCGCTAGGAAAACAGTGACGCCTCAGCATACAGCTGACTTCCATCCATCGTAAAGTGTCGAGCATAATTGCCCGACGCCCCGGAATGGATGAGGATCTTCCATGGCTTCTCGAAGTTCTTTACAGTCGCCTCCACGACCAGCAAGCCCGGCTTGCATACACGTTCCGTGTTCAAGAGCACGGAGTTTTTCGGGGCTAAGCCCTTCTGATCTCTTCCTCCCTGAGGCTTAACAGAACTCAGTTCTTTCGCATTAGGCCGCTTTGCGCCAGCTGTGTAGTGTCGTTTCCCTGCTACGAACCAGACTGGTATGACTTGTCGCGATAGTAGGATCAACCTTGACGCGCCTTGCGCAGGGGGCAACCCTTCCGAAGATGACGGGTGTCTCCACAAACAAAATACCGTCGTGTGTTTGAGTGTTGCCCGGCAGCTCGGAGCTCTGCTGCCTCGTCCTCAGCATAGCTGAGATCCATGGGCA